CTAATTCAATATATGAATATATAGTTACTACCAATTTTGTATGGTACTACATATATTTTTAAGATCGTGCACGTGGATAAAAACTAATCTATAGCTTCATATGCCACATTGAATTTAAGTCCATTGGAATAACTATAAAGCTATCAAATAATCAAATAATCTTGGAAAATCTTGTGCAACTTATCATCATGAGGAATTTATGATCCTGTAATAAAATCACGTATTAAATAATAAGTGAAAATCATAATAATAGCAAGTATTTTAGCACAAACATGGAAAATTATACTAACTACTAAGACTTCAAGTATGAATTTCCATGTAAATTTACGTACTGGGGTTGATTGCACTTCTTGTTCTTGTTTCTGTTTTTGTTCCTGATCTTGTTCATGATCCGAAGCTTCTTTGAACATATATAATCTTTTTTCTTCATCTTCTTCCTTCATGATATTCGATGATTAATGGATGAATGGATGAGCTGAAATTGGTGTCTTCCCAGAAATTCTGATATAAGTGAATATATGTGGATTTCAGTCAATTGAATGAAGACCAATAATTTACAAGTGTTGAACAAAATAGCTTTGAAATATTGTGATTGCTCAATTTGAATTCAATGTGTATCTATTTATATTGATTTTAATTTACATGATAATACGTTTAATCTAGTTTAAATTACATAACCTTAAAAATTACAGTAATTGGTTACTGTTGAAACAATAGGAAAAACATAATTTTTTTTTTTGAAGCCACTTGAATAAGTCCATACGCGATTAATTATGCTTCAATCAGAATGAATTCTTTTCCACTCTAAGTCAGTTTGTCCTTTAGTTTTGAATTCCCCCGTGTACTCTGGTGATATTTTATTGTTTTTAAACTATGCGAGTGGAAATGTCATGATATTATGATCCAAACTATACAAGATCTATTATGCATTCAATAATCTTGATGCTACCAATAAACGTGTGGCCATTCATCTTTAAAGGTGGCTTAACAATCTCATATTCATAGCTCAGTTGATATTTCCCCTCATGTTAAGTAACAGAATGGTTAATTGAAATAAATGAATTAACTAAAAAAAGTCCTGTAGCTTCATCTTCAGGTTAAAAGTATTTATAATTCAAAAAAGGAGTTATTATCTGTGGAGGTAATTGCCTTTGACAAGCAAAGATTACGATTGCATTAGGTATCAGTAAAACCCTTTGTTTCATAATAAAAATGACTTGAAACGTTTCACGGTGATATCAATGTACAATGTGTATTTTTTCCATCATCAATTAACAAAGAACAAGTCGTTGGACGCATTTCTCCTTGACCACCAGCAAGATTTTTAGCTTTTAAAACACATAAGGTGTATAAGGTACCTACTCTCCGTCACTACCTTCATTATTCCATCGACGTAATAAATTTGGTTTATCTTAAATGAAATAATTGTCCATATTTCTTGTCATTATTTCTTCATGAATATACATACATTTAGTTTGGTGCTAGCAAAGCCATTTAATTAAGCGTATTGGCAAATCTAATTAGAACTGTTTTAGCAAAAAATTTTTAGCTTTCATTCACTGAGTGTTAAATCTTGTACTCATTGAATGTTTTATTATACTCCCGAATCTCCCTAATCTTTCTTTCTCACCATTTTTTAGATTCAGTTTCAGCCAAATAACATTTAAAATTTCGAACCACTAAAAATAAATGGTGGCCATAGTCTGTTTCGATTTAAAATTTTCTGGAGACAAATTTTCAATAAGAACTGCTAACTATCTGTTTGATTGAGCCCATCGTGATAATGTAATATAGGATTTTCAATGTTGAATTTGAGACTCTAAACCGTTCTCTTTTTTAAAATTACTAGCTTCAAGGAACAATTCGTCGCTACTCAATATATGTGACAAATATTTAATACAAATCCCAGCATTTATTTATTGAGAACATTCATTTTTTTTAGATACTACAGAAGGTATATTGAATTTTCTATTCCAATATGCAACAAGCTAAGAACATATCAAGGATAAATGCAATTTAACGGGATCTTCAATCGAACATAAATTTCTGACAAACTCCCTGATCTGAACAACCGATCTCATGTCTGAAGCGGTTATGACTGCCAAATTTTGTGTTGAGGATCATGGTATATTTCAAAAGCCTTGGTTTTCTCGACCAAAAGTAAGTCATTTTGATCAAACTCTAAGTATTCATCTAAAATTCCCTCTAAGTTTTATACAGCTTGCCTTGATAGTTAGTAATAATTGAATATTATTTCCCGTTGATCAACCTATAGAAAAATATTCAATTCTGAAGAATTTTAAGTGCAGATATTTATTCATTATACTAAACCTTGAAAGCTTGATTAACTTGATCTCGGTGGGTGGGGCTAGAGTCAACTTATGCTGCTTTTCTGATTATTCTAAAATTGTTTTGCTTTTTGATCTTGCAAATTGAATTATCCTCATTTACTTTTATAAAATTCGAATTCACTCAGATATTTATACTGAGGAAGTTGATTATAATGTTATTTCTTAATTTTTAAGTTAATGAGTCCAGTAAAACAAGCTATTTAGGAGGTAAGTTCCAAACATCTTAAACTTTAATCAGTATGTAAACACGATGTTCAAAATGTAAACAACTATTTTGGATACATGAATAAAATTCGATTAAAATTTTATCTCTTCAAAACTTTTGATTCAAAATTCTTCAAAAATTTTCTTGCAAAAAAATTACATTTTGAATTACAGCATACAAGCCCATGATGCAAACTTTAAATTCTTCAACACTAAATCAAGAATGAATAACTTGATATTCTTTCTTATATGTAAAAATACTAAGAGACTTAATATAGCTTACAACATGTATCTCCAACTGAACTATAAACAAATAAATTTTTGTATCAAACTTTACAAAGCATTCCAACAACTCAATTTACCCCACAACCTTAATTCTGTCATAAGTAGTAGCTCTATACTTCATAAACTTTTGATGAAATATAAACAAACTCATAAACCTCAATGTTTGTTGAAAATACTTAGAAGACGCGTAAATTCGATTTAAAGTTACGAAACGAATCGGAGATTAGATCTAATCATTATAACAGAAATTTTAGACGGAGTTATAAAAAAAATACTGAAAACTTTAAAACTTCAACAATATAAATATCTTCACCAGATTATATCAGAAAAAATGCCAAGTATAGATTTAAGATCACCATCTTTTTTAGAGAGATATCAATTATGTAGAGTTGAAAGAAAGTATTACCCCAATTTTAATGTTACGGTGAAATATCCACAATTTGAAAAGTTAAATAAACAAGAAATATCAACACTTTTATCACATGCCATAAGTAAAGTCATTCACAATCATCCTATTCTTGGTTGCAATTATTTCGAACTTAATAATTCAGAAGATGATTTTAAAAATTATACAATCAGATCAATTGATATTAAATTTAATGATTTAGTTTCAGTTCAACAAGGTGAGATTGATGAAGAATATTTTACAAAATTAAATGATATTTATTTTGAGATCAACACATCCAAGCCATTATGGTCTTTGATAATTTGTCAAGATTATTTGACTATAGTATGCAGCCATATTTTTTTTGATGGTAATAGTGGTTGTTTTTTTCATCAAGATTTGATGGAAGAATTGAATTCGATAAAAGGATTAGATAATTTGAAAGAGAAAGAATATGTCTCAAAAGCGAATGAGATTACTCTGGTTCCTCCAGCTGTAGTTGATTCTAGCAATTTGTTTTCCTTACCAATAATACCAACTTTTAAAAATTTGTTTCATCATTATATACCGTGGTTTAAAGAAACAACTAAATATCCATTATTCAAAACAAAGCCAATAGCAGTAAATCAGATCTTAAATAATAAGTTTAAAATTTACAGAATCAATATAGAAAAACTTACAAAATTATTGGATTACGTTAGGTCACATCAATTAACGCTAACACCATTTTTAGTGTCAATTGCTTTTAAAATCTTATCAAAATATTACCCTAATACAGCATTCGATGTAACTATTCCATTAAACGGAAGAAAATACGATCAATCGTTAGACAAATATCAAGGATGTGTAGCTGAATCAGTCATAGCATTAGATCCACCATTTGATCATATTGAAACAACCAAAAAAATATCAACAAAACTCACTCAAGATTTAAAATCAAGAAATCCTTTTTATCAAGTTGCATTATTAAAATTAGTTAATATTGATGAATTTTTTAAAAATCGTATAGGATCATATGGAAGACATACAATAGAAATAAGTAATGTTGGTAAATTACCATTTCAAGATTGTTATTTTAATCAAGGTTGTGGATTTGGTTCACATTTACAATTGAATGTTGTAAGTGATTTAAATGGTATGAATATTATTTTTGGATGTATCGAAGAAATTGAAGAATATTTTTATCAAATAGTGGAGGATTATGAAAAAGAGATTGATGAAATTATTTCTAATTTGTAATGATTGTATAGAGCTATTAGTAATTTTCTATGGTTCATTATTTATTATAGGGTATAAGTGTATGAAAAATAATATATAAAATCCATGAGAAAAATTATTTAATCGACTAAAAACCTCCAGTTAAACTCCTTATCTTATCAACTTCCTCTTGTAATGCTTTCAAATCATCTAAAATGTTTGTAGTTGAATCATTATTTGAATTTGAAGAATATACATTATTCGGTATTTTTGGAGGTAATGCAGGAGGTTGAGACTGGAATTGTTGTTGATTGGAATATTGATTATACCTCAATGGAGACGGTGAAGGTGTTTGTTGTTGTGATATGGGTAGTGGGGATACTGACCTTTGAGCATTGGATACATTTCTTCTTCTTGGTGGTGGCGGCGGAGGTGCATTTTTATTGGGTGTAGGTGATGAATATGATCGATGTCTTGGAACTGGTGGTTTACCATTTTGTAACGTATTTTCCATTGTCTGTCCCGTCATTTGAGAAGAAAAAGCCAGTAATGAGATTTTAGGAGCTTCTTCTGTTTGATTTTGATTTTGATATTGTTGTGATGATGATTGTTGCTGTTGTTGAGGATTTGCTTCTTGTATTTTATTTGGTGCAAATAGTCTAGCCATATCAGCAGGTCCAGTTACATTTGGTCTTAATGGAGTTATATCGGCGTCATTATTATTGTATGAAGGTTCTGGACTTAAACTTGATATAAATTTTGACATTTGAGCAGGTCCAGTCATATTTGGTTTTAACAATTGTTCATTATTATTTTGTTGGTTATTATCATTTGATACTTGTTGTGCAGGTATTGGAGTTCCATCTACCGATATTGTATCAACGGCATTTAAATGATGAAAATGATTAATTTGAGATTCCATTTCTTTAAGTTCCTCCTTTTCTTGTGCTTGCTCTTCTGGTTTTTGTTGAGTTTGTCGATTTTGCATTTGAATCAATAATTGATCCATAGGTAAAGTATAATCTAATTGATTTTCATTTGGAGCTGGTGAATGTATTGGTGATACAAAATCTTGAGATGAATTATGAATATTTACTTGATCTGAAAATTTAACTTTTTTTGACTTTCGACTACTTTTGGAATTTGATGAAGTACTATTTGAATCTGGTCTTTCACCAGTTAATAAGAATTGAGTAAAACTATCTATATCTAATGGAGCCATAGGTTTATTATCTGATGATTCACTACTAATATCGTTATCTCGACTATCTTCTTCTTCATCATTTTGTCTCTTTTTAGATAATATAGAAGGCGGAGTAGGAACTGGAGCCTTTATTTTGATTAATTTCCTCAGTGGTACTTCCCCTCTCAAAGTATGACTTATAACTCTTAACAATGCAAAAAATTCTCCAATATTAACGCTTGAACTTATTTTAAAAAATATTTGATTAATTTGATTTCTATTATCATCACTAATTTTAAAATTTGTTAAAAAATTAAAAACATCAATTACGGAAATTGTCCTATTATTAGTTCTTGCTAAAATATCACTATACCATCTCATGTAAGTTTTTGATTCTTGTAACGTTAACTCTTGTGCTGTTAAACTTAATGGAATACTTGATTCATTTGTTTTCAGTTTATCATTTTCATCAAAAGGTATTGAATCTACGGACATTGAAGGTCGACGATAAGGTGGGGATAAATTTTCATAACTATTATTGTCACTATGACTTACTTTGGATTGACTTGGATAAAGATGTTTGATACTATTGAAATTTAGTCGTGAATTATTATTATTATTGTTTGAATTATGAGTATAATTTTGACTATTCAGATTATTAGGATCGGTAATATTGATTTGTGGAATTGATGGGGAACTATTGTAATTGTTTGCAGAAAAGTTGTTGTCAACATTATACCCATTCATTATTAATTTGACACTGTCCTGGGTTTCTTGTCGTAGTGTATGGGGTTTGATGGACACTGACTAATCTGATATGAAATTTTTATGTTGATTAACTTATATTCAACCGGTGTAAATCTGAATAAATTACTTTTTTATACAAAGCAAGAGAGCCAAAATAAAGCGCAGCATATACGAAACACGCGCGTTTCAAATATATCTAATTTCAGAATATCAAATCGATGAAGCCAACTCTAGCCAAAATCGAACATTTTCTTCAAGTAATAATTATATATTAAAGTATAAATTTATTTAAAGCATCACTATAAAAAATTAAAATATCGTAAAAAATTATTTCCATTATCAAAATGGAAAATATTGAAGAATCATATAATATGTGTTGAAGAATCATATAATATGTGTTAAATAAAAGCAACAATTGTAGCTGACCCTAATCATTCAAACCATTTAATTTAAAGCTTCTTGTAAACCAACAGTATTTGTAATTATTCTATGTTGAGAATTTGGAGCAGGTCCAGAATAATCATTACCAGCCCAAGCATTATCTTCTTCTAAATCTAATGGTTTATGTTTGCCTCTATCAGCATGAATATTAGTTGTAGCGATTTTTTCAATTTCTTGAGATGATGGCATAAATATAACTCTTGTACCTGGAGATTTAGCCATATTTTGTAAAGCATCTAAATATCTAATATTCATAGCAGCAGGAGAAGCAAGAATATCAGCAGCTTTTCTCATTAATTTTGCACTTTCAACTTCTGCTTTAGCATTAATAATTTTACCTTCACCAATTCTTTTAGCTTCTGCAGCCATTGATAAAGAAGCTTGAACTTTATCAGGTAATTGTAAATCTTTAATTAATATACTTTCAATATTAACACCCCAATCAAAAGCTGTTTTTGCAATAATATGTTCAATTGATTCAGCAATTTCATCTCTTTTTTCAACAACATCTTGTAATACTCTACCACCAATAACATCTCTTAAAGTAGTTTGAGTTCTTTCAACTATAGCTTCATGAATATTTTGAATTGCAAATATAGCTTTCATTGGATCAATAATATTATAATAAACAACTGAAGTTATTAAAACAGAAACATTATCTCTTGTTAAACATCTTTGAGCTGGAATTTCACGAATATTAATTTTAATACTAACTCTTGTTAATTTTTCACTCCAAGTATTAACATAACTTAAACCAGGTTCAACAGTTCTTGATAATCTACCAAAAGTTTGAACTAAACCAACTTCACCTTGATCAACTTCTTTATATGGATTTTCACAAAGAAAACAAAACATACCACATTGACCAAAAATTGAACCTAAACCAGAAATAAATGATTGATAACCACCTGGTTTTGGAGTTTCATAAGTTTTTGCAAAATTTTTTAATACCATATCTGGTTTAACAGCAGGTTCTTGAGTAATAGTATTTGGTTTTTGGAAATTAGTATCATCATAATTACTTCCATTATTTATAGGAATTCCACCACCATTTTGATTTCTTTTATAAGCTTCTGCATCAAATGAATCTGTATCCATATTTGTCTATGAGGAGATATAGTTTAATTGATTGTAATTGAAAAGATTGTGATATAAATTTTAAAATATAAATATATTTCAAGGGTGATTATTGGTTCTATTTATATTTAATTAATGTTGATAAATTAAATATTTTTTTTTCTTAGCATTTTTCAGCCTTTTCAAAAAAAGATAAAAGAAAAAGGGCTTGTTACAGATAATAGTTACACAAAAATGAAATATGTATGACGTTTACTATTTAGTGATAGATCTTTAAACTTATAAATGCTGAGTTCTTTATCATCTCTAAATTAGCAAGATTTAGAATGATAAAAAAAGTACACCTTAACAGCCTAGTATGACATTAGCAGTAAAGAAATAGGTACGGTTTTTTATCATAAAATATACGGCAAATCAAGGATATTGAAATTTTAATAAGTCTTAGCATAGCCGTATAATCAAAACTTGACCTGCCTTATCTACAATGAATGTGAATGTTAACTCGATATGCATTAGTTAATATTTGTACGTTCATCTTTACTACATACGATGAATATCGAGTCTTGCAGTGTACCATCACCAAAAAATGGAATGACCAAAGTAATAGTGGGTTAACAATTGAAATATTTCACCAAAATTCTATGGGTTCAAACTTACCAAACGTATGAAGTATATGCTGCTACACATTGATACTTTTTTTTTTCAATTGGGTAAATTGGATGTTCTTGTAGCTTGTAGACCGATTAGGATGATCGGTTAGTAACAAATTCAAGATTTTAGTTAAGCTTATACGATTATCTTAATTTTCACGAAATATGGGGTACTTTTTTGTGTCATGATCGGATTTATTAAGCCGTCTCGGCTTTAATATCATATTTATGTCATAATATTTTTTATATGCTTTTATCAAAGGTCTTGCAGGATAAATAAAATATTGTAGCGACATTGATATCTACTCTGTATGAACAAATCTTAACGTCCTGATAAACTCGTTTGGCTGAGTAAATCATCAAGGACGATCAATAAAAGCTTTCAGTATCCGTATCTGATCATTATTTTATATCCGATAGATCTTTGATTGTACAGCCGTTTGATCACAAATTTTAATTTTAGTAAAGATGCATATTGAAATACATGGGTAATTTATTGCTATAAGTGGTTATCGAGCTCGAGTCATCTAAATTGGAAACGATCAAGACTATGTAATCTCGGACCGATTTCTTCTTTCGCTTTTATTTGACTTCAGGTACATCATTTTAAATCGCGTCCTTACAATTAGAATAGATTCATTGTTCCAAGGAAATAACAATAACGTCTATTAATCTATATATTCAACTTTTTAATTTCTTCAACCAACACGTTCTTGTCATTTTCGTCACTACTCAATCCATTAATTAAATCGTTTAATAAATCTCTTGGATCTTCTAAACCAATTGATAATCTTAAAAGTTTTTTACTTATATGAGAATCACTCATTGCTCTCCATTCAATTAAACTTTCAGCACCACCTAAACTAGTAGCATGATGAAATAATTTTAATTTTGATGGGAATGATTTTGCATCTAATTCAGTTTTTAATTCTATTGCAAAAACAGGTGTATGACCATTAGACATTTGTTTTGATATAAATTCATCTGATTGTAATGATCCATGATATATTTTATCTAATTTTGGGAATTTTGATTTATTATCATTTAAAAATTTAACAATAATTTCAGCAGTTTTAGTTTGTCTTGATACTCTTAATTCAAAAGTTCTTAAACTTCTTACAAGTAAAGCACTTTCTAAATTTGCTATATTTGTACCTAATACTAATCTATCCAATAATAATTGTTCTTTTAATTCATTATTTTTAACTAATAATAAACCAGCTAATAAATCAGAATGTCCTCCAAAAAATTTTGTTGCTGAATGCATAACTATATCAGCACCAAATTCGAAAGGGTCTAATAATGGTGGAGGAGCAAATGTTGCATCAACTGATAATAAAGCTCCTTTTTCATGAGCTTTTTCAGCATATTTGGAAATATCGGCATAAGTACCATATGGATTTATAGGAGTTTCTAAATGCATTAAATCTCCCTTTTTTAATTCATTTAAATCTCCATTTATATCTATTTTCTTTAATCCAAAATTACGTTGCCAAATTTCTGCTATACCATGACATCCATGATATGCTTGACCAATAGCTAAAACTTTAGGATTAATTTGAGTCATTAATCCATTGAAAGCAGATAATCCAGAATTATATACAATACAAGGATATCCAGTTATTGATTCAACAATAGCTTCAACTTGTGCTGCATTTGGGTGATTTTCTCTTGAATATACTAAAGTATTTGGATCAGTTAATGCACCTGGTATTAATTCATCTGGATTATTTGAATAACTATATGTGGTTGAAATATGAATTGGAGTTATAACATCAACCGTTCTTTTCAAATGATCTCCCCCATGAATTGATTTAGTTGAAAAATGAGACATTGTTGGTGGTATTCGATCGAATGAATGTGAGCTTTCAGTTTAATTGATTACTCATTTTTCAATTTGAAATATTATTTTTTTTTCCTTGACATTTTAAATTTGCGGAATACTTACTAATTTAAACGGAACGATTTCCGAAGCGATTTGACTGATATAATACATCTAGTGAGAGTTTGAGTCATATTAAATTTTGTATTATATGTCTATCTATATTTTTCACATTTTTGTTGCATGTTCACTTCCTCTCATACGTCGACCAATTCTACTTAATAAATAATAAATACAACCAATAAATCGGAATAATGCCATAAATGCAACAGTCCATAATATAACAGTCAAAAAGACTTCAGATCTACTGCTTCTTACTTCTGCTTCTGTTTGATCAGCTCTATTAAATTGATTAAATCCACCAGTTTCTAATACTAAAGCAATTATAACAAAATTTGAAAACATCCATGTAAGTACTGTCATTGATCTAATAAATGCATAATAATCTTCTGTATTTTTAACTAATACTTTTTCAGGTGCTGGTGCTGGATCTCTTATTTTTTCTAATTGATTTAAATATGATTGATTAATTTCTTCTTTTAATATAGGAACACTAACATCGAAAGTACCATCTTCTCTTAATTTAGCTTCACCTAATGATTTACCACCTACATCACCTTTAGTACCCCATGAAACATCATCAATATTACAAAATGCATAAATATTTAACACATTTATATATGATGGTGATAATAAAATATATTGAACAAATGAAGTAAACATATGCCATGGTTCAAAATAAAGAAAACTTGCTAAAAAATATAATGCATAAGTTGAACTAGTTGCAACTATTAGATCTCTAAATTGTGAATTTTTAAAAAATAAATCAGCACTAAAATCATTTGCTCTATAAATTGCTGTTATTGCATGAACAGCTAAAAATATAGCTGCAAATATCATATAAGCCATTAAAATTGCAAAAAATACAACAATAACAATATAAAATTTTTCAGTTCCCTTTGGTTTATTACCAAATGATAAAACAAATGTTGTAACAATTGAAGCAAGATATAACCATAAAAATACAACAGATAATATATTTCCTGGTGCAAAACTTAAATCATTATCAGATAATGAAGTAGTTAAAATTCTAAACACCAAGAAATAAGAACCAATTGAAAACCATGAAACAATTAAATTAATAAATTGATAAAAAAATTCAATATGAAAACAAAATTTTCTACCTAATGAATGTGAACTTTTCCAAATTTTTGGGAAATGAACTAATGAATAAATAGCTGCAAAAAATGAACCATTAAGCCATCTTCTTCTTTGTAATATAAATTCAGCTAATCCTTCAGGAACATCAGTTTCAGCACTTGCTGATTTACAATATCTTAATAACCAATTACAACCTCTTTTTGCAACTAATTCAAAACATAATATACGATCTTCTGCAAGATACATATTTGAAGTAAAAATACCAGCTTCTTCTTTCAATAATGCTCTTTTTAATTCATATTCATCATCTAAAGGATCTAATTCTCCAGAACTATGTAAAAATTCACCTTTAAAATATTTTTCTAATGGACCTCTACCATTAATATCATTTTGTAATGCTATATTTCTATAAGCTGAAAATGCTCCAGGTAAAACTGATATAAACCCAAAAGCTGATTCTGTTGGTTTATCCAAAATATTTGAAATTTTATATTCAAAATTTTGTCCATAAACTAATGGATTGGTTATCATTTGTCTCTTTTTTAATGATGCAGTAATTTCACCACAAGCACCTGCAACTCTATGATCACGATCAAATTCTTTCCATAATTTATATAATGATTTACCAGAAGGTTGAGTACCACAATCTAATAATATAACAATTTTAGGATCAAGAACTTGACCAATAGCTTGAAAACACCAACGATGAGAATTTATTTTTTTAGCATTATTTTCTTTTAAACAAAATAACATTTGAACAGGTACAATTTTTTCAGTAGTTAATTTAACAACATCATCATTAACTGAACTTATTCCAACCCTTGTTGTATATTCATACATATGAGCTTGTACTTTTTTATCATCAACTCTACTTTTAGCTAAACCTTCTTGATATACTCCTAAACCTGCTAATAAAGCTTGAGCTCTTTCATTTATTTTAGTTCTACCATCACTTACTATACAAACAACAATTTTTTTCCATGAATCTTTACCCCAAACTGAAGATCTTGATTTAGATTCAAGATATTTAATATTTTTAAAAACTCCTTTTAAAGTTCTACCTAATAATATATCATCTTCATTATACATTGTTATAACAATCATCAATTCAGTTTGTCTTGGTATTGGATAATGAACAGGTCTTAGAATATATGCATCTCTATAAAAATTTGAAGGACCACATGTTACTGCAGTATATCTCATAAATGCAAATTCTCTTGATAATCCACCATCTTTTTCATTTGTTTTATAATCTGGAAATTTTGATAATAATTCACCTGCAACAGGACAATCTAATACTAAATGACCATTTATACCTGATGCTCTAATTGGTTTTTTCGATCTTAATTCTTCTTGTGGTGGAGGTTCTTGATATTCTAATGCTTCATTTCCAAAAGGTCCTTCTTCTTCTTCCTCCATTATATCTCCTTCAATTGGAACAAATTCGCTTGGTTGTTGATCATCATCAATATAACTAGCAGTAGCTAAATCATAATGATCACCTTCAAATTGATTATATTGAATTCTTTGATCAAATTCTCTTTCTTCTGAATCTTCATCATCATAAACATGTGGTACAAATGCTTGATTATAATTATTATTATAACCTTGGTATTGCATTTCATAATTTTCTCCATGATTAAAAGGATCAGAACCATTTGAATTTTGTTGATGAATATTTGAAGTATCAAATATTGGTTGACTATAGTAGTTATCACCATGTAAAGAAGTTGTAGATTGATTATGATGATAAATAGGTTCAGGTTGTTGAAAATTCATCGAATTATTTGGTATATTTTGATATATTCCATGAGTTAATGGTGTATGACTTGTATTATGATCTATAAAATTAAGGGAATCATCATCTTCTTCTTCACTTGATTGATCTCTATATCGTCTGGTGTTGTTATTGTTGTATCTACTAGGATGTAGGTGATCAAAATCATCATCATTTGGTCGTTGATAACTCATGAGTTAATGATATTTTATGAATCTTTATCTGGTAGTAACTTCTCTCGTATTAAATCAGATCAGATTTATTTTAGACGCGAGTTCGTAATAAAATAAATAAATTTATAAAAAAGGGCTGAAAATTTGAAACAAATATTTTCGAGTAATTTTGAAACTTGGTATAGCCTATAGTATCAAATGAAATGATTTTGAAGCTGAGTTTGGTTTGAAAATGTTTTAAGTTGTTGAAAAATTAGGATAAATTTTAATTAATATATGAGGATAAGAAAAGTATAACTGTAATTTATTTAAATGAAAAATTTCTTGATCTCCTCCTTTTCAAATGATGTAAACGATTTTATTGATTTCTGGCTTAAAATTAGTTACAGTTTGGAAAAGAGAAAAGTTATATAAAAATAGGTGCTAAGGTTCAGATCATTCAAAATGAATTTACAATTCTTGGTGGTAACAGATTAACGATTGAATCAACTAAAACAGAGCCTCTTTCTATACTAATTTACTACTTTAGTATGGTCTCAGTCTTACTTTTGTGTCACTGTATTTATTTTATTATTTCTAAATTTAGAAAATTAATTAATTACGCGAAGAAATTTTTATTTGTAATATTAATTTTTCAATGTCAAGACTACTTGTTTCAAGACACGCTACTGAAAAAAAATAATTTAATTTCGGACTAACGATTGTAGTATTGAGAAATGATGAGGAGTGGTCAATATTTTACTCTGACCTAACTATTATTGAAAAGCATAGTGTCAAATGACTTATTGACAATTCACAATAATTTTCAAAAACGTTACTAGATATGACAAACAATAATGAAATAAAAAGATATGATGAAACGTGAGAACTATATACGGTAAGAAATTTGAAATATTTAATACAACAAACAGAAAATCACATATACCTTTCGGATAATTTCTGAACAAACTTTTGAACTTTATTTCTTTTCAAAGTCGTCAAACCACGTTTCCATTCTTATACTTCTCTTTTTTTCCATGATGGAATAATTGTTGAAGTTGCATATTTATACATATTTTAACGAATGATCTTATAAAAACCTGACCTAGTTCAATAGAATCTGAAAAATTTACAAAAATTTATAATGTCACTCGAGCAGTTTTCTTTTTTGTAAAAGTTTTAGAGCGTTTGAATGCTGTTGAATTAACTTCTCATTGCATATGTCGTTTCTTTTAATTTTGAAAACTTTTGTATTTAATGTGCCAAATTCCCTCACTAACAATGAATATCAATCAACCATAACTACATTTAATCATGTTTGATAACATTGAAACTTATTTACTACAACGAATATTTGAGGACTTAGAACCTCAGTCATTTGATAGCTTAGACTTATCTTTTTCTATAGATAATAATCTAAAGTTGCAAAAATCAAAAACAACAAATCATGTCAAATTCAATGATAATTCAACAAATACAAAAAAACACATTCCACCAAGACGAAAGTCAATAGTCACTTCAACATCCCAAATAAAAAATCAAATCAAACTTTACAATAAAATCTTAAAATTATTAGAACCATTTGAAACCAAATTAGACGATACAAACTATAAAATTGCAATACTATACTTAGAAGATCAAATTTTACATCCAAAGAAATCAATAAAAAATATAAGAACATATATGTTAGATATAATATATTACATTTATAAAAATATAGATGACGAACAACCATTAAATTTAAGAGAAATTGAAAACACACTTCATTATTTCATGGCTAAAAGAGATCAATTTGATTTAATAATATCTGATTTAAATTATTTTGAAGCTACAGTTAAAAGTGAACAACATAATGATAATTTCAATAATATCAAAAAATCAAAATTATTAATACTAAGAGCTTTAGCTTATACTTATGCATTTGAAAAATTTCAATATCCTCATATATCAAATAAAATAGATAATTTAGAATCATACAATTATAGAATTTTATTAAATCAATTATCACCTTATTATTTCTTATGGGCATTAGATGAAAATTTAACGAAATATAAATATCAAAAAGCTCATAAAAAACAAGGATCAGATAACTCTCCATTAATTTCATGTACATTACCATTATTTGAAGAAGTTGCTATAAAATTTTGTGAATTAAATACTGAAACTAATGTTGATTCTAAAATTATGGAAATTTTTGATGCTATTTCTTTAAGTCAATTAAGTAGTGATGAAATATTACCAAAATTTAATGAATCTTTTACTGAATATTTAAAATGGTTAAAGGTAGAAGAAGATACAATAATATCTACGGAGAAGGAAGATTTGATATGACAAAAAATTTACGGTGTTTGCAATCAATCCGTATATTTTCTTCTGCCAGGGGTTATAATTAATAAGTAAATGCATGGAATATTATTTATAACACAATCGATTATATAACAATTAAGAAACTCGGCCGAAAATATTCCTCGCAGTTTATGTTTTGTATAAGAATTATGAATTACAATTATACAAAATTTGAATTACACGTTCAGCGAATCCATTATAAGACACGGTATAGCCTAATTACCTTTTGTTCTCTCAAAGATGTTAAATTAATGATACTTATCTTAACCGATAAGTTTAAGATGCGGATTGAAACATCGATCTCGTAAATCCGCATTCTGAAAATTTCTTATAAGAAACTTGATACACAAAACGAGCAATTAAACCAATAATTTGTAATCATATATTCAATTACGAATGAACGAATAACTTTCACTTTTCATGGGCTAGACTCGTAGAGGACGCGTTTTTCATCAACAAGTCTGTTTTGTAACAAAACAGACATGGCAAGTGTTTTACAACTACCTTGTGTTGAAATATAGAGAGAGCCCTTCGCATAGTGACTCATTCAACTGAAATAAAAATAAACATTAACCCGCGAAGTAAGCGCAAAGTTAAAGATCTAATATTACTCTTCGTTTACGCAGTTGTGCCTTTTTTATTTCTTTTTTTTCATATTTCCGAATTATCTCATCTGCATGTCTTAGCTTTTGTACTTCATTAATCACAAGGAAGGTGAAAAATTGGAGATATTTGATATAGAGATGTAGTTAAAGCTTTTATGCCACAGGTTTTGTTGCAAACGTTTATTTATGAATGTGATTTATCGTATAAAAAATTTAATCTTTCGGTCTAAAGTCACTAATCAGACTAAACTAAAAATATTAAATCTAATAATATTTTATTTTATACCGAGTTTATTTTTTTTCAATTAGATCTGCTTTGTAAATTCAAAAAAGTATACTAATCAAAGAAGTATACTAATCAATGAAGTATACCAATCAAAAAAGTATACTAATCAAAATGCGGCTATACTAAATCCTTCTATTTTGGTTTTACTCACCAAATTGAGTCATTTTTACTCTTTCTACATTTGACATCAACATTGGTCGGTTAATATAAACTTAAATTTCTAGAATGAAATAAGCGTTTCTTCGGTTTGTTACTCCTTTTGGAATAACTGCGAGGTTATGCACTAAAATAAGCAATTTAATTAATAATAAAATTTATTTTAAACGGCTTTTTTTTTAGTGTTTACTTTTAAAAAATTTTTATATTTGGTGAAGAATACAATGGATTTGTGTGATTTAGTAGTAGTAGATTTTAGAACGGAGATTAGATTTGTAATTAGAATATGAATTTATTATTACAAACATGAAATGAAAAATAATTAATTAATTTATAAATAACTTATTTTCTCATCTTAATAAAATATTTCATTCATCTTATACAAGCATTATTATCAACTAGAAACTTCATTCATATTTCATATTATAAAGTATAGTTTATCACGTCCTAAATAATTTTCATTGTCACTGCTCAAGACTTTAAATTCAAATCAAATAATAGAATCAATGTCTGAATTTTTATTAGACTCCTTTATGGGTCGTACCATATATCATTTATCTGGTAGAAGATTATTTTTACATGAGGAAGAAAAACCAGGTTATGTTATACCTGAAAAGTATTTATTAACATCAAAAACAGCCAATGACACCAATGAAAAAACTACAAGAGATGTCGAAAATCCTAATGAAGATATTGAAAACCCTACATCAGATAATACTTTAAGTAAAACTAAGAGTAATAATTCATCAGATACAACTGTTGCTTCAGATTCAAATGAAGCAGTCAAAGAAAAAGATGAGAAAGATGGGTATATCATAGTTACTTTTGAAGAAAATGACAAGACGAATCCTTATAATTGGCCTTTCTATTGGAAGGCTATAATGGCTTTTCAAATTGCATTTATGACTACTTCTGTATATATGGGATCAGCAATTTATACTCCTGGTATACTTGATATAATGAATAAATTCGAAATAGGTCAAATAGTTGCAACATTACCATTAACTTTATTTGTTGTTGGTTATGGTATAGGTCCAATATTTTTCAGTCCATTATCTGAAGATATTAGAATTGGTAGAACTCCATTATATATTATTTCAATTTTCATTTTTTGTATGATGCAAATCCCCACAGCTTTATCAACTAATATAGCAGGATTATGTATATTGAGATTCATAGCAGGCTTCTTTGCCAGCCCTTGTTTGAGCACTGGAGGGGCGTCTTTTGGGGATTTGACATTTGAAAAGACTGTTTTGAAGTATCCACATTCTGATATTATGGACACCTCAAAACAGTCTTTTCACATGATTAAAGCGACGTGGGAAGTTTAGGGTAACAAAGCGAATTTGACGTAACAAAGTCTTATTGTACGATTCGGCTAAGCCATTCATTTGAGGTAGCGGTGGTATAATCTCTTTCTCAATTCCTTCATCCATGAGCTGCTCTCGACTAGGGAGCTCTGCAGCATTGTCAGCTCTATAAGACAGTAAATTTTAAATGCGTCACTTCCCGACGATATCCAAATCTTTGTAAAACCTAAAGGGGGTATACCTGATGGACTTGCTGGAAGCTAAGTAAGTCAGTTTATGGCTTGAAGCAATCCGGATTTGAATGGTAACAACTGATGCAATTGAATTTAGAAATTTAGAAACACCATTAGTGGGTTCAACTTATGAAAAAAGAGTCTGTCAATACCATCAACATTCACACACTAAAGCTAATAAGACATCAGCTGAACAAGAGATAATCAAAAGACAAGACAATTATCCTTCAGTTAAAGTTACTGGTTTATATCAATTTAATCGTTTCTTACAAATGATCTTAATATTCAAATACGAACAATCTGTTCCTGATTTCAAATTGAATAATAAAATTAGAACAGCTGCAAGTGGAGTTAAGAATAAAAATTTAGATGAATCTGTTCATTTGAGTATCAAAAATAATATTTTAAATTATCATAGTGCAATTGAATACAAATCATTAATCGAGTATGTCAGAACCTCAATTGAAGAAGTAGCTTTTATTAGAACAAGTTCAATACAGACTCAAAAACCCAACATATCAATCACTTACAAATATTAAGTATCAAATTATTCATTACATCAGATCAGAAAATGTTCGTAATATTACAAATTTAGAACGGATTAATATGTTATCATCTATTTTCAAACCATTTTCAACATATATTAGAAAAGCTATTGATATACTAGATACTCAAGTCAAGTCAACTTTATATTCTAATACTTAATCGTGAAACAAAAATTGATGAATTAAATGATTTAACTGATATTAATTTTGAAACTGAATGGATTCGTATGGACAGAGCATTATCAAAAATTTTAGCCATTGAAAAATCAGATCCAACTACAAGTTCTAATACAAATTTTAAATTTGATAAATCAAAATTCTATAAAAACTACAATTGCTTAATTTGTGGAAAAACATCACATCTTACCACTAAATGTTATTCATTTCAAAAATTGCCAAATTTAAATATTAGATGAGATTATATGAGAAAGTGTTATTTCAAAGATGACAAGAAAGTCGAAGTACCTCAAGATATTTACCCACAACTGAAATTTCAAGCGAGGCATTGAACGCAATTCAAAATCTAAGAATAAATAATCAAATCCATCTATTGTTAAAGCTGAAGCTACGATAGTCAAGAAAGAACCTGATGAGAAAAAACCAATTAATGATGATAATATCACTGAGGAGGAATGAATAATGGTTGAAAAGGAGAAGAACAAACGATTAAGAGCTTATACTGTTTCAATTGGAGCAACTAAAGATGGTAATAATAAATCAGATAAAGATTACAAATTTAAAAAAATGAAAGATTTTAAAACTAATTTATCAAATAAAGCTTTGAAACAAGATGTTAAACAATTAGCTGCTGAGCAACTGGAACATGATCTTAAACAATACTTGGAGACTGGTTCATCTACTAATTCAAGTCCTAATTCCTATTTTAATCCAAATTGTACATGTAATACAAATGGAAATAAATCACACAATATAAAAGATGCATTAACTGATACAGAGGATGATGATAAAATAGAAACTGAGACTTATGATAATGATGTTACAGATATGAAAGACACAATGAGTGTTGAAAGTGAAACTTGTAATCAACAAACAATTGAATCACAATATAATGATCATTCAAACCATAATTGACATCAACAAATGTCAATTGATACAACACTGGAACATTCTGATCAAGATTTATTTATGCAAGATGAAATTAATCAATAACATCATCAACAACCAGATTATCAAGTTCATGTTCCAATCATTACCAACAACACAATCAATACTGATCAATCGAATCAAATAGTTGATATTCAATCAGGCATTAATAATAAGGTACCAACAAGAATTGGATAATTTACATCAAAAATTTGAACAAGAAAGAACCATTAATACATTACCTCATCAATCAGACACTACTACAAATGAAAAATTGATTAAGTTACAACAATTGAAAAGTGATATAATTAAACATCCATATCATCAAATGTTACCTGAAACTGCAAAACAATTACTTCTGAAATATTCTGTTAAGATTCATAGCATCGCGTTAAGCGCAAGTCTAAAATCAATGACAAGTTTATTTAATTATATGAAACAAGGAGTATATAAAGTTATAGCGTGATCTTATCCGAATACTATAATGAGGAGATTATATGAAAATGGAGTAATGATCATAGTTAGGTTATATAAAGATCAAAAGTATCTTTGAATTAATAAAATGAAATTATAACTGTTTCTTTAACTCAAGTACAGATTATCATCAACTTTTATAGTTATTAGATTAATATTCATAATTTATATTATATATATATTAGAAACTATTATTGTCATTGTCGCACGCATCTCTAGTCTGGTTTTTTTATTGTTGGATTACAACCTTTTGATGCAAATACAAATACAGCAAAACATATATCTGGTCTAGTATTGTTTGCTGCCCATAATAATGATCCTGTTATAGATTGATATTTTCTATTATCATGATCATTTAATAAATTTGTATCTTGCTCTTTTTTATAAAATACGGAAACTTTACTTCCCTTGACCTTTTCATTATCTTTAATTATTGGTATATATTTTTTATCTAAATGCTTAACATCACAATCATTGATTAGTTCTTGTAAGAATTTTGTTTGATGTATTTTAATTTTATAATCTGTATGTTCAAATTGAATACCTAAGAATTCTGAAATTTAATCTAAGTCTTTAAATTCAACAAAATTCTTCAATTTTTTGGAAAGTTATCATAAATTTTTTCATTTGAATATACTGTAAATATATCATCCACATAAATTGAAATTATTATTATTTCATTATTTACTTCCCTTAAGAATACTGTTTGATTAAGATCAACAATTTTAAATTTTAATTCTTCAATTGATATTTTACTTAACATTTTATACCAACACTAACCCAGTTGTCTTAAGCCATATACAGCCTTTTTTAATTTCCAACAATAATTTTGTCTTATGGAAATTCCAGTTGGTGCATACATATAAATATCTTCTGGACTTGTAATTTTTGAATTTAAATAAGCACATTTTATATCTAAATGATGAATTTTATAATCTTTATTAATTGCTAAATTTAGTAGTATTCTTATATTAGTTAAAGTAGTAACTGGAGCATATAATTCTGTCCAATCGAATTCATGATTTGCTCTTTGTGTAAATCCTCTAGCAACTAGTCTTGATTTATATTTCATTTTCTTCAATGAATCATTTTTTATGGTATTTACCCATCCCGGCGTCGATCATCTAATGGTGGTACCTGAGTCAAATCAGCTGATGATTCTAAAGGCGCTTCAGTTTCATAATCACTAGATCGTAATGTAGATCTTGTATTCAATAATTCTAAATCGTTTTCTTGGACTTGATTAAAAGGTGAATTATAATTTATTAAGTGTTGCTTTATTCTATTATTAGTTTTAAGAAAACGTATATGCGAAGTTCTTATAATCTTATTTCCTGGACCATGTAATAGCACTATAAATAAACCACTATCACAACCGTAACCAAGAAATGATCCAAATACAACTGGTGGTAAAGATTTTCAGGTTGTTTTCCAAAAACTAACAATTCAGCATTATTTGATGCTTTTACTAATGCATCTACTCCAAATGGTTGATAATTTATTTTATAATTTTGCACATGATAAAATAATTCAAATGGTGTGCTTTTAGACAATCCATATCTTGAGGTATGATTTATTATAGTTTTAACATAATTAATGATATGATTAAATAATATTAAAATTGAATTATAATGATTTTCATAAGTAAGGATTATTTTCTTTATATGATTAAATATTACTCTATTAAATCTTTCTGGAATTCCATTTGTTTCAGGTGAATATGCTCCTATAACTTCTTTTTCTATTCCTAATTTTTGTAATTGAAATACAGTTGGTAATTCCGGTGCATTGTCAGATCTGAATGAATATACATTGTAAACTTATTATACCAACATGTTAAAACATTTAACACTTCTTCAGCAAGATTTTGTCTTGTGTAAGTATATATTATATCAAAGCAATGAGACCATCCATCAATAATAGTAGTCGAATATATTTCATAACTTTTAATATGTATTGGTCCAATTGTATCACAATGTATTCTTCTTGATGAAAATTTTGCTTGTCGAATTGTTTGATGATTATGCAGTTGCTGGACAGCATTGACTTGCAAACATATTTTAAAATTTTTAATTTTTGCATTATCATTTGGTTGTGATTTAACTTTGAAAATACCGTCTTTATGACATAATATTAATTTATTAAAAGGCATATGGTTTGTTTTAAGGAATATCATATAAACTATCCTCTGTATCTTCTTGTTCATCATTTTGTTCACCATTTATATAATATAATTCTTCAATATGTTTTGTATCATGAAAGTTTCCTTTTATTGGTCCAACATATAAATTATTTTCTTTCTTTGCAACTGGTATTACATTTCCTATCTTATCCATAATATAAAGATATGCATCAGTAATTAAAATTAAAAGTTTTTGACTAGTTAGTTGTGATATCAATACTATATTCACTCCAAATTCTGGTATATAATAAACATTGGGTAACTTAATTGTATAATCATTAATATTAATATTTAAAATACCAGATAATTTTGATATAAGTTCAATATTTCTAAATTTGAATTTTTTCTCATCAGTCTTGTCCAACTTTTGAACAATCTTTTTATTTGATATCACTGAACTACTTGCACCTATATCATATATTATATTATCTGCATTTGACTCATTTGCTGGTAAAAGAAACATTTCATGAACTTTATTTCATTGATTTTTATGTTCCAATGTTTTAGTTAATGATGATACATTTTTAGCTAATTCTTTTATATTTTCATTCACTTCATAAGTAACATCTTTTCTATTCTTATCATATTCATTTGATTTTGAATGCTGAAAAACTATGGAAACATTAGGATGAATTGTTGTTTGATTATATGACGATTTACGATTTAATTGTCTCTGATTTTTTCTATTATTATTACCAGTTGGTTTAATTACTTTTTTTGTGGTTGTATCAGATGTCGTATTTTTTCTTCTATATTTTAAAGCAGTTGACTTTATATAATTAAGACATTCTGTGTGATCTGATCTTTTGGGAGTAAAATGAACATCATTTTTCACTATAGTTTAAAATTCATCAATATTTGGAATTTCTGTAGTTTTATCTTGTTCTCAATTTTTAAAATATAACACTAATTTTTTACAAAATGATTTATTAAAATATGATTAATTGCAGTTTGATGTGTATCAGTATAATTTACACTAGTTTGTCCTTTATTTAAATGTAACACAAATTTAACTAATTCATCTGTTTTAGCTAATTCTTCAAATACCTTCTTCTTTCAATAAATACTTCATAATCAAATAAATTAAGTTTTATAGCTATTGCTTGTGCTAATCTATCAATTATAGCATTAGATAAATTAGGATCAACATATGTATCTAAATATTCCCATATTAATTTTAAATTTATTTCATCTCGATTAGGAAATTCATCATGTATTGATAATAGTTTTCCATCTTTTAAATGTAAGTACACTTAATTTTTCATCAAATTTTTCAATTAAATAAACTATTTGATCTGGATTTTTAAAATGAATTAATATTATTTCATCTATCTCAGGATTGAACTCATCTGGAGTTGTAATTGCTTAAGACCATCATGATGATCAAAGATTTTCATCATTATTGATTTCCATCTAATTATACTTTCACCATCTCTTATATTCAATTCTGGTTGATCATTAATAAAATGTTTATTGACATCTTCATATTCTTCATTTACCCAATCTCTTGCTGCTTGTATAAATTTAAAATTATCAGCAATTAATCTGAGTAATCATTATCTTTAGATTAAACTCTATATTCATTTTTACTTATTCTTTCTTTCTCATATCTTTTTGAACTACTTTCTATATTTTCAACTGATGGACTTCTTTCTTGTAATCTTGAACTTGATTCTTCCAAAGGTTCTTCATCAATTGTTCCTGAATAAAAATATTTGTTTAA